TATAGTCCTGTCCAATGAGGATGAAGTTGATCTTAAACCAGCTTCCTGGAGGGCAGTCATTTGGGGTGTCTAGATGAATTTCAACTTGTAGGGCCTCAGGAAAAAGGTAGTATCAATTTTATTGAATCCAAGTTAAAAAAATCGAAGAAAAATTTGGAAAACATTAGTTTGAAGATTTATTGTCAGGAAAAAATTCTTGATTCAGTCCTGAATTTTTGTAGGCAAATAATAAACACTCAAAAACACTAAATAAGGCTAGAACCTAAGTATACTATAGTTTTTTACTGAAACATAATTTTTCTCTCTCCAGTTTATTTCTATCAAGGATAAATCATAGTAGGACCAATTTACATACAAAATAAATTTTAGTCTCATTATACTTCGCTTATTTCCATAAAGTACCAAAAGAATAATTATTAGCCATATAGGCTCCATTTATTTATTTATTCATTCATTCATTCATTCATTTAATTTTTGAGGCAGGGTCTTGCTCTGCCACCCAGGCTGGAGGACCGTGATACAATCATAGCTCACTGCAGCCTTGAACTCCTGGGCTCAAGTGATCCTCCTGCGTTAGCCTCCAGAGTAGCTAGGACTACAGATATGTGTCACCATGCCTGGCTAATTCCAACCCCCCAGCTCCGTAGAGATGGAGTCCTGCTATGTTTCCCAGGCTGTTCTCAAACTCCTGGCCGCAAGAAATCATCCCACCTCAGCCTCTCAAAGTGCTGGGATTACAGGCATGAGCCACCATACCTGGCTAGGCTCTTTTAAATTGTTTTTTCTGGAATCTTTCCAAAAGGAATCTCAGCCTAACCAAGCTTTTGCCATCAGACTGTCTGTAAATACCTGTATAAATTGGGGGAACTTCTCTCTTCTCACGATCCCAAAATAATTTGAGGTTCCTGGACCTGTCAGAAAGTGACATTCTTTACCTACCACATGTCAGGAACCTTGTAAAGGACAAATTATCAGGCCAGTCTTTCCAAGGGGGTTTTGCCAGCTCTATAAAATCATTTTCAATTCTACAATGTAGTCTGGACATATCTGAAAATATGCCATTCCAGTCAAAGCCTTCGTAAAATAAACAGTGCCTCCATTTGTGTCCTGTTACAAAAGAAAACAGATTCTTATTGAATTTATGTAAATAACTATACTGCCATAAATCAAGATCATTCAAAAATAGTTTCCAAATTCTGGAGAAATCAGGTAGAGAGGAAGATAAATGTTTCAGATTTTGCTCATGAAACTATAATTTAACCAATTTGTTGTAAGCTATAAATGTCTCAAAAGAAAAACGTTTTCTTGACTCTGGAAAACAAAACAAAGAATCAGCAGTGTTTCAAAAAAGTCATAAAAAAATTTTAGTATTTTATTAGTTCAGACCAAATAAAGCAAAACTTGCTTAAATGAGACACAAAGACTATTGTGTTCTACTCCTCTCAGAGCCTTGCATCTCATCCAGTGCAAAAGCCAAATTTCTTACAGTGGCCTGTGTGGAAAACCAGAATATGCCATCCCCAAATATAAGATTGTTGAGCTGAGGATAATTAAGAAGCAACAGATACAGGAAATCTCTTTGTTCTCCCTCTATTTGCCTAAAACAAGGAGAGAGATCTACAAAGACAAAAAGATATCCTGCACCCCTTTCATCAGGGAGGACAAAAGTTAACCACTGAAGATAGCTTTCAACCTTACCAGCCTGGAGATACACCAGAGGAACTGCCAAAGCACTGCAAATCCAGCTTTACTAACTAGCCTTCATCTGCCATTTATTTGCTTTCCTCAAAGTTGCTGCCCCTAGAGATTCAGAGTCCTTTCGCTTTGCCTTGTCACTTCTCTAAAAATTTACTGTTCTTTGTTGAAGATACTACATAAGCTGAAATTCAAAGTCACCTCTTTAAGTATTCATTCTCTGGATGTCTTCCATGTAAATATGAAATATACATGTTAGTAAACTGCTTGTTTTTCTTTTGTTACATGAGTTTGTTTCATCTAAGAATGTATGTGAGGGGTGGGGGTTGAAAGAAAAATTATTCTTCCTCTACACCTATAAGCCCCTACATGGTCTGGCTTTCTTTCGTTTCTGTTTTAATTTCCTATTACCTGTCCTCTGCTTATTCCACAGAGCCACTCTGGTACCTCAGCCCTCTCCTTCCTCTTCTCCCTGAAGATATACATACAGGTTGCTTCCTCACCAAGATCTTTCAGCTCTTTGCTGAAATATTATCTTCTTGGTGAGATCTTCATTGGTTGCGTCATCTAAATTTCAGCTCCCCGTGACACTATTCTTACTTTATTTTTCTCTCTCTCATAATCTAACATACTACATATGATATTTACTTATCTAGTTTATTTTCAGTCTATCCCAGAGCCAAATGTAAATTACATGACAGCGAGAATTTTGTCTGTTTTGTTCTCTGAGTGTATTCCCAAAGCACAGACCAGCATCTGGCACATTGTAAACTCACCACAAATATAATTGGAGTAGGCTAGGTGCCGTGGATCACTTGAGGCCAGGAGTTTGAGACCAACCTGGTTAATATGGTGAGACCCTCATCTCTACCAAAAAAAAAATTTAATTAGCTGGACACAGATGATGGTTCATTCTTGTTGCCCTAGCCACTTGGGAGTCTGAGGTATGAGGATCACTTGAGCCCAGGACTTGAAGGTTGCAGAGAGCTATGATTAATTGTACCACTGCACTGGGCAACAAACAAGACCCTGTCTCAAAATATGTACATACATACATATGTTTAGAGTAAATAAATTTTAAAATTCAATGTTAAATATTTGTTATAGGAATAACAATAGCATCATAATTAGGTTTTTAAATGGCAGCTATGTATTAAAATATTGAGAGGCAAAATACTGTTACTTGCTTTACAAAAATTAAGGTAGAGGGATGAAGTGGTATAGATAAGACATATTTGGCCAATGTTGATGTTGAAGCTGGATGAGAACTACATGGGTTTTATTAAACTACTATCTCTCTTTCCATATATTCTGAAATGTCACATAATAAAAAAGTTTTTAAAAATAAAAACAATATTTTAAAAAATTTTTCTACATACATCAGTGAAAGTCATGGGAAAGAACCAGCTGGATACCCAAACAGGACTTTGTGCTAATCTGTATAGGAAAGGCCCCATATGAAGATAGAAAGGTATCTTGGTTGTCTGCCAGAAGGCCCACGATGGTATCTGTTCCTCCTTATAGCATCCCTAAAAACCAGATACTGCCAATCACTCCACTGAAAGTGGCTTCATACTTCAGCATAGACTTACATTAGCCTCGCCCTCGGAAACTATTATAAAAGCCAGGTGTTATTTGACTAGTTGCAGTGAGATAAACAGTTGTCAAGCAAGTCAGAAAGTCATTTCGGAGATCACTATATTCTCTCTGAAGGCAAATTAGGAGAAAAGGCTGATTCAATTAGATAACTTTGTGCTAAACCTAGAGTCAAACAGGAGCTAATCGAAAGTATGGAAATTTATGTAGCATTGAGTCACAGTACCAGCTATTTGTTGGAAGCATCTGAATTTTAATAATTGCTATTTCCTGGGCCCACCCTGCTCTCTAAATTAGTCCTGATTGAACCCCAAAGATATTTTTATAAAACCTCACCATGTGACTGTAATGTCACACTGAGACCGCTGATCTTTAATGAAATCAAACTATCTTAGGGGCTTCTTGCTGCGTTCACTGTTTTTAGAAAATATTATCTATTACATAAATAAGCATTATAGTTTGCAAAAACTCTACCCTGCTTCACAGTCTGTTTTTACTGATGAAACCTAAAACACCAGTAAACAAAACAACCTAGACTACTGATTTAACAGTGGTCATGAGAATCACCTGAGGTAAACTTAGTGCAATGCAGATTCTGACTCAGTAGCCTTTGGTGGCCTGGGAATCTACAACTCTAACAAGCTCCCAGGGTCATGCCATGCTACCAGTAGGCAGCCCACACTGAGTGGCAAGTGTAGAAGCCATCGATTTGCTTTGGGTTCTACCACCAATAAATTCATTTAGGAATCTTGGAGAAGTGTAATTTTTTTTTTTTTTTTTTTTTTTTTTT